TGATTTGCATATTTGGGGTCTCAATTAAGCTAGAATGGACATTTTTTTTTATTTCCACTTTTGAGTGCGACTGACTTCTATGCATACGAAAGAACGATAACATTTAGTAAAATTTCAGAAGAAATGATATTTAGAATGTTAAGACTAATACTAATACAGAAAGTCATTTCCCTTGGTTGACCTCACGATTTATTCAATAAATTTTAGTATCAATTTATTAATTTTGATTTTATTCAGTTTTCTTTAATTGGCAATTTTCTTTAAATTTACCCAAGAAGATTCACCTAAATCTTATTCTTAATTCGTAATAGTAATATAAAATCACCCTCCTACATATAATTAGATATTAGTATGATAGTAAATATATGTATATGCAGTATATAAATATACAGGTGGAACCATTGAAATTACAACCATTAAACTTTTATCAACTGAACGATGTCCAATTGATAAGTAAAAATATTGGAAGGAAGATATAGATAGTACGGAAATAGATGTTTACCTAATTCTTATCCAGATTATCATTGTCTGTTGGAAATCAATCCCCTACAATGTCCCCAAATTTGTTAGAGACATACAAGGAGACAACGCCCAATGATAAATTTACTAGTTAAGATACTATCTAGGTGGTTCAGGCAGTCAATTTCTTTCTTAATTAGATGTAGATTTCGTATCATTTATGAATAGTTTGATAATTAAAATCGGAATAAAATAATGTTAATTACTCATTCTGTTTAACTTTCCAATCCTAAAATTAAAATAAGATAATGATTTAACATACCTTTAATGTATAATTTCATAAACTATTAATGTTACACAACTCGTTTTACTAATAAAATTAATACATTTTAAGCTTTAACAACGGCTGTTTCTCATTTTGCTGCAATAAATTCTTAACATCTAAAGGAAAAACATCAATTATGAAACCCAAGTTAGGCTGTGCCTTGACTACAAAACACTTGTCAGCACAGCAGTTAGGCATCATTTTCTGTCTTAATTTTCCAATACGAGAACTTAGGGCTTGTGGTACAAGAAAATACAAAAGGTTTCAAATTTCCAATCAAGAAGGGAGGTAGGTGGAAGTCGTTAAAGAAATGATGACTCATCCATTCACCGCGCATTCCCCGGGATTTTCAGTTATGGTTTGTTGTTACTATTCTCGTCAGCCATGGTAACGGAATTTGACCCCGAAATGAAGAATTTCCATAAGCATATGGTCGATAAAACGTGACATTAATTTCTATTTTCCTTGGATCTTAATTTCAACATTTGCAAATAATAAGAGAAAAGCCGATTTATTTGAACGAATTTTGATGTGAATTTATTTATGAAACGTGAAGCATACTCTACTTGATGTAATGTTTTAAAGAAAACCAGACCGCCAACAAAAGTCAAAAGATGAATTTAAAATCTTCTTTTAACTCCAGTGACATAAGATAAATAAATCATAGAAAAGGAGGCTAAAAGATGAAACATTTCCCTTTTTATTCTTGTTTTAAAAATTTTATTAATTATTTTAAAAAATTTAAATAATTTTTTATTTTAATTATATTTAATTTATTTTTAATATTTTTATTTTAAATCGAATAAATTTTTATAATTAATTGTTGATTAATGTCATTAATCAAAATAATTTTTATCATTTTTTTCACTCACGTGACACTAATGTGATGTTTATATAAAAAATAAAATTATCAGGTGATCAAATTAATATATTACATTATCATCTATTATTACATACCCACATATCATTTCAACATAACCTACCATAAAACTGACGAATGTTATTTTAACTAAAGATTTTTAATCAATCATTAATCATAATATAATGATTTATTTAACTTAAAATTAAATATAAAAATTTAATTGAAATAATAAAAAATTATTTAAAAATTTCAAAAAAAATTAAAAAATTTTAAAATATTATCCTCTTAGTAATTAAACTTACCTCATCGTGCCATGGGTAAAAAGATGGAGGGGGAGGAGGAAATTAGAATTTCATTATTGTCACTTTACAGCTTGTTATGCACTAGGGAATAAGGATTGAAAGGTAATGTCAGTTTCCATCATCCAAAAGCATTGGATAATCCCCTTAATTAATTCTAGTTATATATTTTAAATCCTTGATAATTAGAATGTTATGGCCTAATCTTTTAATAGATAAATAAGATCTTAAACTCGAATTATTGGCAGGGTAGCTTGCTACTGCAAGGATAATTACTAGAAAAAAAATTTGCATTTTCAGTACTATTATCTGATTTATAGAAATCCTTTTACACCCACTTTATTCCTTTTTTTTTTGAAAAATAGTGGTGTTTCTTTTTTGATTAATAAAAATAAAATTATAAGTAATTTCGAGTATGTTTTGGACCTTACCTTTCGCAAGACCCCATGTGACTCAGGATTTGACAAAGATACGCTGGCTTGATAACTTCATAATCAAAATTATAAAGAGATGCCATGAAGTTGTTACAAGTCAATTAAGCATTAGCAAAGCCCGGTATTAATGATCACAAAACATAGTGTTTGACAAAAGGTTGTCTTTGATTAAGGCAAAAGTTGGTGTTAATGGTTGGCAAATGCTAACTTTTATAAAAGTTGGCAGGCATCTCACCCTACACCATTCAAATTTTCAGTTTAACTTTGTCATATGTTCTTTTGCCCCCATGCTTAAAGCAGACCTCTCTAGTTGTTAAAGTGGGTTTGGTTTGGTCACTTGGGAGCTGGAAAAAAGCTCACCTTCCTAGCCACTCCCTTCCTAGGTCATCTCCTCATATAGGTTTTAGGATCACAAAATTTATCACAAAAGTTTATAACTAAATTTATCACAAAATTAGATCATAATCTATATTTTAATTATTAAGATTATCAACAAACATAATTCAATACTTTTTTATTTCGAAATAAACACATCAAACATTCTTAATTAATATTTTTTAAATACCGAGTCAAATACAAATTTTCTCTTGATTTATTCATTGCTAAAGGAATGGACCTCGCAGGAAAATCCTTCCCCCAATTTTTCAACCACTGCGTTTGAAAAAAAAAAAAGAAAACTTTTCAATAACTGTATCAAAATTTCAATTTGATTCAGATTAGGACAGAAAACATAATATAATATAATTTTTTTTTCAAAACAATGCGTTTCCCATTATCACTTATCAATGAAAATGAAAAATCAGACATGGACGACTTTTCGGTAAGCATGAGAGAAACATGTGGAAAAGTACACCTACGCCTATTCAGTGAAAAAACACTGTAGTTTTGCTCAATGAAATTAGTATTTAATTGAATTGACAGTTTATTTTGTATTTTTGCTGAATCTTATTCATATTGTAATTTGATGACAAACATGGTATGATCCAAGTCCATGCTGTGAATCAGTTCGGTTAGACCAACAGATATCTCCCGGGCTATGTAAATGGGCCTAATAATAGACACTTAGACCCAGCAGCCCACTCTCCTTGGGCCATTGCATTCTTTAATTCCAAAGTACTAAACTGTGATTAACCTAAATACTACTTATAAAATTTTATCATTAATCACTTTTTATTTATTTATTTTGATTAATCAATCATCAATACATTAAATTATTTTTTATTAGACTCCTATTGAGACACAATATTATGGTTTTGCACATTTTCTTTATCTATCTATATTTCTTATAAAATTATTAATCTTTTTTATTTAATAAAAAAATAGATCTCCCTCATTAAATTAAACTTTTAAGGCCGATGAAAAGAAATTAGATTATAAAATACAAAATCTTAAGACAAACACGTGCCCCCTTTAGCCATATCATCCAAGTTTTTCTTGGTTGGCTTTGTCAAATATAATAAATATTTCTATACCTTTTAATAAGAGTGTCTTATGCATACTCTTAGAGCAATATATTTTTATAAGTTATCAGTAGAATTTATATGTTTAGTGATTTTTAAAGTACATAAACAGAAAAATCAGAATAAAGAAAAAATAAAATGGCATATGGTTTTAGTGGACTTTTAATATTTAAAGTATATTATTATCTTTTGAAAATCCATTATCAACTTTTTATTATATTTATATTCTTTTAGCATTATGATAAATGTTAATAAGATTTATCCAATTTGAAAATAAGAATTCTAACTACATTGTATGACTTTGCTTAAATTTTTTTTTTCTTAATTCTAATAATATGAAATAATTTACAGATTAATATTATAAAATTTCAATTATTTATATTTCAAACTTGACACTTTAAAGACACTTGTATTTATATTTAATTGTTACTTGAAAATAAATAAAAATAAATATTTAATGGACGTATCAATAAGTACTAATCATATAGAAATATTGAAAGACATTCCTTTGACACAGTGCTCTTGGGAAAAATAAAGTTAATAAAGAGCAAAATAAGTAATTAAAGTGCATGAGTTACTTCTCCAAAATAGAATGGATATGGTTGCCTCTTTGGCCTTTGCCTCTTGATTCAACGGCGTCGCAATCTTGAATCAGAGCATTCAAATCAAAACAAAATCCAATTCACATGACCTTTTCATCCATACAAATTCAATCTTGATATATATGCATATAAAGTTAAAATTCATAAATATTAAGTAAAATTTTTACCTTTAATTTTTTAGGAATATTTCTTTCTTAAATCTAATTCATTTTGGAAGCAAAAAACCCATATAATGTATGAAATTATATAATATTGATTAACGCAATTCCTTTGGGTAATAGCATCGGTAACCCTTAAATTGAATTTTATTCTTTTATATTTAGTATCTCAACTTCAAAATTGAGTATGTTCGCTATGGAGTTACACATTAAAAGTATGTATCAAATGGGGAAAGGAAAACAGGAATCCATATCTGCTGTTCAAGTCTTTTCTTTTATTATTATTATTGTTATTATTTTGGTAGTGCGCTGCAAAGTAAGAAAATTAGTTCAAACAGGTAGGTAAACACATTCTAAAGCAAGCGAGATCGTTAGTAAAGCTTTGAACAAGGTGAGTATGGTTATGCTGAAGGGTGTGGGTTGTTAATTCGCAAGAGATTATGAAACAATGATCATTATTAGAATTATTCAAAAATTAGACCATAATAGTGCTATATATACCCTACAATCTCCATTACTTGCATGTTTTCAAGGCACGAGCACTTAGTTCTTGAATTAAAGCATTCAAATCAGAGTCAGATGAACCCTCGTTTTCAACAGCCTTCCTAGCTGACTCTGCAAGTGCCTTGGCCCTGCTTCTCATTTCGTCTGCCCTGTCGCCCACAATTATCTCTCTCACTGCCTTCTCTATTGCTTCTCTCTTCACGAAATCTCCAAGCAGCCTGGCCCATTTTTGGGCGCCAACACCGATCCCAATCCTCAGTATTTGAGTCAGCAACTTTTCGTTGTAGAACTGCTCGGCAGCCACTGGCCATGTGACCACAGGCACACCAGCGCATACTGATTCAAGAGTGGAATTCCACCCACAGTGAGTCACAAACCCACCAACTGCTTCATGATCAAGAATCAACACTTGGGGTGCCCACCCTCTTATGATTAGTCCCTTACCTTCCATTCTCTTCTCAAACCCTTCTGGCAACCAATCTTCTTGCTGCTCTTCATTTTTCTTTTCTTTCCTGACTACCCAAATGAACTGTTGCCCTGAAGCTTCAAGACCCGTTGCAATCTCCAAAAGTTGAGAGGAACCGAAGTTTGTTACACTTCCAAAACATATGTAAACAACCGAGTTTGGTTTCTTCGAATTGAGCCATGTCAAGCACTCATTTTCGTCAATACATGCTTTCTTTCCTCTTTCTGTTTTATCAATAGTCCCTCTATTGCGTAACGATATGGGACCTACATGCCAAGCCCTTCTCCCCAAGACCTTCGTGTAATGATCAGCATAAGCAGATTCAAGTTCATAAAAGCTATTGACTATAACGCCGTAGCACTTCAGCTCCGTTTCCTTGCTTTCACTATAGAACTTGGTAAAGCCTGTTTCTTGCCTAACAAAATCTGGCATTTGTGATCTTGTCAGTTTGATCTCACCTGGAAAATTAGGGATGACAAAGGGTTCTGAATCAGACGACACCTTCTTGTGAGGCTCATACAATCTGATGTGTTCTGTGGCGGATAGGGAGAAGACACAGGTTCCATGGAAGACAATTCTTGGAATTCCAAATGCAGCTGCAACGTCAGTTACCCAAGGAAAGAACATGTCTGCAACAAGGCAATCAGGACGATGAGCTTGGAGTAGATGCGCAAGGGGTTCTCTGAGCATGGTGGTAGCTGTGAAGAATTTAAACTGCATATCCGGTGATGAAGCCTGATCGTAGCTCTCACATCCTTCAGGCAATCCAGCTTCGACAGAAGGGAAATATGTGGCGAGGATGTTGATTTCATAGCCCAAGTTTTTGGCCCTCTCAGTGACCTTGGAGATGTGGGGTACATTCAGGGTAGTGGTAATGATGGTTGTCTTTACACCTTTAGCGGCAAAGAGCATGGCCAAATCTATGAATGGTATCATGTGGCCATGAGCCATGAAAGGCAGGAAGAAGATTTGAAGCTGACGGTTTTGACAACTCATGGGGCTCGTTTTCAGAAATGCCCGTAACAGTTTAAACTCTGATCCAAGCACTCCAAGCCAACAAGCTGAAACGAGGCGCTGTTAAAGTCGTACGAAAGACCGTGGAGCAGATAAAGTAGGACGGGATGGGGAAGAGACTTGGACTACAGAGCAAAGCGCACAAATACCTTCCCTGATATTAACGCAAATGAATGGCAATGCCGCTCGGGCAGAGCCATGTAAATATCCCACCAACTAGTCAAAGCGCAAGTCTACTAGGACCACTACCGCCGAAACTAGGTTCTCATTATCAGCAATTTCTACTGTTACGTCAGCCATTACGTCAGGAAGTTGGACAAGTAAGTTCTGGAAAAAAGCAAGTGTACCGATCTGTGGCTCACGTCTAATCATCAATCATCGTTCAAGCAATTACTTGGATGATAGACTTTATCCAACCAGAAATTAGATGCTTCTAAATTAGGTCTAACTTACTTATCATAAAAAAAGTTTTTTACTGAAAAGTTCGGAATCTGTGCTTAGTTTTCAGCTTATTCAAACAGATTTTTACTCGTATAGTTGACTTTCTTTCCGTTTTCATTTGGAAAAAAGTTACCACTATATAGTACTGTATAATTTCTATTCTCACGAGAATAAAAAGAGAAAATGATTTCATGCCGGCGCCATTGAGCTGTCTAATACAAAGAAGGATGCATCCACTTCTAATTAACATGTGTATATTTTTAAAAAAGGGCTCATAAGTTATATACTACTAGGAATCTTTTATTAACATAGACTTATCCTTTTCTTCATGACCTTATTGTTCAAGGCATCAGAACTTGGCATTAGCCGGTCATAAGATAGCGGACAATCGTTTCTTTACAAATTACAAGAGTCCAATTTCCACCCTTTCAATGGTTAAGCCTCTCATTAGGATCATTACAAATGCCTAACAGACAAACCTGCTTATTGATTGTTGATAGACCTCCTTGAAAGTGAAAAACAACTGCACTAAGCCAAGCTAGCTATGGAAGGCATCATCTAACAACAACCTCTGAGTATAAGGGATTATATTGAGACAACCCTCTGGCTAAAGGTTAGAGTTAGTACAGGAATTTATAAAAGAAAAAACACTAAAAGGAAATTAAGAAGAAGCAAATCATGACAGAAGAATGATTTCCTTTCTTCCTCTTAATTCAATGCGGAGTGGCGACGCAAGCGTAATTCTGCAATGAGATCATCCAAATCAGTGTAAGAAGAACCCCCCTTTTCAACAGCCATTTTTGCCATTTCCCCAAGTGCCTTGGCTTTCTTTCTCATTTCGTGCGCTCTGTCACCCACCATGATCTCCTTCACTGCCTTCTGTATTGCTTCTCTCTTCACAAAATTTCCCAACATTTTGACCGACTGCTGAATACCAACAACAATCCCAATCTTCAGAACATCAGTCACAAACTTTTCATTGAAAAACTGCTCTGCGGACAATGGCCATGTGACCATAGGCACACCAGCAGTTACACCTTCTAAAGTTGAATTCCATCCGCAATGAGTCACAAATCCTCCAACTGCTTCATGATCAAGAATCAACATTTGCGGTGCCCATCCTCTGATTATCAGACCCTTGCCTTCCATTTTCTTTTCAAATCCTTCAGGCAACCAATCCTCGTTTTCTTCCTTGTTCTTCTTTTTCCGGACAACCCAGATGAATTGTTGCCCTGACGCTTCAAGCCCCATGGCGATCTCCTTTAGCTGAGCAGCAGCGAAGTTTGTCACACTTCCAAAACTTACGTAAACAACTGAATTGGGTGTTTTGGAATCAAGCCACTTCAAACACTCCTGTTCGTCAATGGATGCTTTATTTCCTCTCTCTGCCTTTTCTGCAGTGCCCCTATTGCACTGCGAAACGGGACCTATATGCCATGCCTTCCTTCCCAAAACATTCCTGAAAAAATCAGCATACGTCGCCTCGAGCTCATAGAAACTGTTGACAACTACACCATAGCTTTTCAGCTCTGATTCTCTGCACTCTATCAGCAACTGGGTAAAGTCAGCTCCAGCTCTTTGATCTATAAAATCTGACAACAGGTTTCTTGTCAACTTGATGTCACCAGGAAGGTTAGTCACCACAAAGGGTTCAGAATCTGACTCAACTTTCTTTTGTGGCTCATACAGCCTTATGCATTCTAATCCACAAATTGAGAAGAAACAAGTCCCATGAAACACTAACCTAGGAATTCCAAATTTGTCAGCAGCATAAAATGCCCAAGGAAAGAATATATCGGCAACTATGCAATCTGGTTTCAATTCTTGTAGCAGCTGTTCGAGAGGTTCTTGGAGCATGGCTGCGCCCTTGCAAAATTTGACGACCACTTCTCTGTTTGCTTCTTTAGGCGTGGTGATTAAGTCCAGGTTTTCACATCCCTCTGGCAACCCGACCTCAACACATGGAAACTGCAGGACCTTGATATCAATATCGAGACCAGAATTATTGCATCTTTGAATTGTATTGGAGAAGAGAGAAGCATTGAATGGAGTGGTGATTATTGTTGTCTGAGCACCTCGCATCGCAAACATCTTGGCCATGTCCACTGCTGGTATCATGTGGCCAGGGGCCAAGAATGGAATGAAGAACATGTGAAGCTGATGACTTTCACTATCCATAATATTTCCTCTGTAAAAGACTTTAGACTGCTAGAAGCAGAAATTGAAGAAATTAAGACTGCAAATAATGATTAGAGAGAAGCATAGGCCGGTATTTTCTATGGTTGATTGAAATTGGCTTTCACACTCTATATTGGCAACGAGAATGGATCCAACCTTATGATTATTCAATTACAGGCAAAGGCGAATCATCGTATGGTCTGACGCAAGGGTGGATCCATGTACATGGAAGTGGTGTCACCTCTCAGTAGAAAAAATATCTATTTATTATATAATTTATTTAGAATTTTACCTACTTGATAATACTAATGCATTTATTAATTTTTTTTTAATGTTACAGAGTGCAGGATAAAAATGAATTTCAT